ATCCTTACAGGATATCTGCCAGGCTTTCTGGTTTAAAAAAAAGGAAATGTCAGTCTCTTCATTACCTGTCAGAAGGGTTTTGGTTACAGGTTTGCAGAGAAGATTGTGATGTCCTGTGCATCTATCAGGGAAGTGTTTAGTTTTACCCGGTCCCAGCTTTGATGTCTTGCAGAAAGTGAGCTCTCCAAGAGAACAGGAAATGCTGGTTTGAAAGTGACTTATGGATGCTGGAGGAAAGAAAGGAACACTTCTTTGAAATGATCTGATCTTGCTTTGGAGGGGTGAGAAACTGAAAAAGGAAGAGCAGAAAAGGAAGCAATTGTGTAATGGGTTTACATCTTCAAGCAAATTTTCTTAATTTAGGTTTTTGTGTTGTTCTTTTTTTCCCTAAAGGATTATATATAGAAGTTACTTGAATCCCCTCAATGATCTGGAAACACAATGTTCACTGTATAAGGAAATACACATTTGGCAATCTGTGTTTACTGGTTTTCCTTCTCTCAGCTTTGCCTTCAGTAGATTCATTAATCCTGAGTAGATTTAGATGCTTGCCATGTTGAGAATGAAACACCTGTGCTGTTTGAGACCCCTGGATGTGCTTGGAAAGGTCATAGAGAGGTGCTGTGTGGCAGAAGATTTCTTCTGAGAAGTGCTGGAAACATTTCCAGGACTTCTCTTTTGAGCCAATTTGTTGTTGTTTCTCGCTAGATTGACAGTTGCTCTGAGGTGCTCTGTGGTACTTGTTGCATTTCTGATGATGATCTCTGTGTGCTCAATCTGGTCACCATCCTGGTAATCCACCTTCTCTGGAGGGACCAGTTTACATTTCCACAGGCAGAAAGGAGTTCAGAGGTGTTTCCCAAGCCCTAAGCACTTCAGCTGAGGTCTTTCAATTGCTTTTCTGCACCAAAAAGCTTGTTGCTTCTACAGCCCTAAGCCAGGGTGTGTGGACACCATCACATCACCTGGGGGAGATGGGGAGCTGTGAGTCCTCATAACCTCACATAACAGTCTTTTTACAAAGAAAACAGTTTAAGATATTCCAAAAAGCATGTTCTGAGCTGTCATCAAACTTCCTTGCCCTCCTTCATGCCCAGCCACAACTGGGTTGTCCTTTCTGGAGCTATAAAGCTATGGTGTGGTCTTTTCTTTGGTTCTTTGCATTTCATGGGGTGAGACTGGCAGATCACTGTTGCTGCACCAATTCCTTAACACTCAAGTTTCTTAAGTCTTCATCGTGACCTAGCAAATATATTACCTGCAGGAAGACCTATTGCTATGGCCTGAAGTTGTGTTAGGGCAGGTTTAGGTTGGATATTAGAAAAAAGTTCTTGCCTCGGAGGGTGTTTGGGCACTGGAGCAGCTCCCCAGGACAGTGGGCATCGCTCCAATCCTGAGAGAGCACAAGGACCATTTGGACAATCCCCTCAGGCACATGATGGGATTGTTGGGGTGTGCTGTGCATAGCCAGGAGCTGGGCTTGATGATCCTTGTGGGTCCCTTCCAGCTCAGGATGTTCTCTGATTCTGTGATTCCTGTCAATGCACAATCTATCCCTGGCTCATCCCTGTCCCAGAACCTTTCCCATGACAGCAGAGTGATTGTTGAGATTCTTCAGTTCCCTCCAAGGCCAGTGCACAATTTGGGACACCAAATATTCCCAGCAGCTCCATGGTGGGAATCTGGTAACCCACATGGCAAAATAGGTGGTTTCCCCACTGGCAACAGGGATGGGCAGGTTCCTTGGGGCTTGTAGTGAGGAGATAAGGTATCAGCAAATCCTGCTTCTCCCCACCAGCTGGTCCAAAAATCACAGAGCCAAAGGGCAATGCCAAACATGATGACACAGACTGCGCATGCGTGGAGCTGGCTGGAATGTTAACCCTTGGGTTAGGGTGCATGGAAGAAAAGGTTATGAAAGAGGAAAGCTGAAACTCTTGAGATGGGAGAGAAAAATGTTAGAGCTGGTCCCAGCCTTAAATTCCCACTGAAAGATAGGGATGCTGAGGAGGGGAAAGGGATATTGCTAGTTGGATCTTTCATCCCCTCCTGCCAGCAAGGGCAGCACCATCATCTGAGGGATGTGATGGGTCCTGTCATGTTTGGGAGGAGCAACCTGTCTAACCCTTCAGACAAAGCTTTTGCAGCTGCTGAATTAATCCAGTCTGGGATCAAGTTTGGGATCAAGTCTGGGACTTGAAAGGAAAATTGATAGAAAAAATTGGGTTCTAACAAATAAAGTTTGTAATAAATAAATAAATAAATTGATAAAAAGTATTCTACACTTATAATACAATCCTGTTTCTAAGTTCTTCTTCTGGTAGAGTTTGGAAACCCTGAGGACCTCTTCCATGAGGATTAGGAGTCACAGCCAGATGGGAAGCAGCTGTCATTCCACAGGCTGGTCAAGCAGTGATGAAGCAAAGAGGAGGAAAAAAAAGTCCTGTTCCCAAATTCCTCATGCACCAGAGCTGATCAGTGCATTCCTGGAATGGTTATATAAGAGAGGGAAGTGCTGTCCCTAACTCAACATAAACACACTGGGAAAAAACTCCTATCACCTCCTTGTGGATAAAAAATTATTGATTGGCTTATTCTTATCTTGAACAGTGATTGACTCATAGGATTGTACAGCAATAATTTCCAAGCTGAACTTTTCCAAGCAGGTCTTGAGCTGGGAAACGTTCCTTCAGCCACTGGAACACATTCCTCTAGCTGCTGGGACAGGCGAGGGAACTCAGGTAACCTTGCATGAGATTCCACTGGGATTTCATAGGATTGGTGTTTGTTTCCTTTAGTATTGTTTGGGCAGTTTAATCAGTTGGATAATGAAAGCTGTAGCTGTGTATTGTGCTGATGTGTTCAAGGCTGATGCTGTGCTGTTGATTATCGGGATGAGTCTCGGTGTCCTGTGGCTGCTGCCAATGCCACACTTGGGGGGAAAAAAGGGTGAGAAAGGAAACCTGGAATATTATTTGTTACCACTAGAGCATTTTCTAGGTAAAATTTAGCTCTGACTGTGAATGCTGTAGTTTACCATGGCAAAAGAAACTGACAAGAAAGAGCAAGTCTAGGTGACCACTTCAGTCTCTGCTGATGTTTTTTCTTGTTTCAATCTTTCCAAGACAATAAATGCTCTTTTCAGCAGTTATGTTCTGCAGGTTCATTGCTTCTAGGGCATATTACCTGTGAAGTATTCCTGAAGGCATAAGCTTTACCAAGCCCCATGACAGACCTACTGTAAGGCAAATATTACCACCAGGAAAATTAGAGGCTCTGCCTCACTCTTCCCTTTTTGATCATAGAATCATCAGAGACCTAGAATGGTTTGGGTTGGAAGTGACCTTAAAGGTCATCTCATTTCACCCCTCTGCTGCAGGCAGGGACACCTTCCACTGGACCAGGTTGCTCCAAGACCCATCCAGTCTGACCTTGAACACTCCCAGGGATGGGGCAGCCATAGCTTCTCTGCACAAGCAGTGCCAGTGCCTCACCACTCTCACAGGGTAGAATTTCTTCACAATATCCCATTTAACCCTGCCCTCTGGCAATGTGAAGCCATTCTCCTTTCTCCTGTCCCTCCAGGACCTTGTCCAAAGTCCCTCTCCAGCTCTCTTGGAGCCCCTTTAGCTACTGGAAGGGGCCCTCAGTTTGCCCTGGAGCCATTTTTTCTCCAGAGTGTCTGTTTCCCCTCTCCCCTCCAGTCAGGCCCAGTAGTGACAATGCTGCAGTTCCTGCTGCCTGGGGCTGTGTCCAGGTGAGACAGGGGCATCCCCAAGGACAGAGCCCCTCCTCCACTCTAAACAAGGAACCAGTACTTTGGGGCACACTCGTGGTTGGCAGAGAAATATCTGCAGTCACTTTCATGTACTAATTCATCTAAGGAGACATGGAAACATCCAAAGCTGTTTTAAAAGTTTATTTCTACCTTGTGCAGATGTTTAGAGAAAGGGCAAGAGGCTCCAAATGTCACTTCCTAACAGGCAAGACTGAACTCCTTGACATGAACCTCAGCTGCCAGAGCAGGAAAAATCAGAGAGGGAAACAGCATATTTTCCCATAGCTGTATTTTGAATAATTTGTCTTGTTAATCTTTAATTCCAAATTAACTTCTGTCCAAGGAGGAAGAGCAATATCCAAAAAGCAAATCCAAAGAGCTCTGCACACATTGAAGAAAGTTTCTGTAGATAGGCTCTTGTCTTGGAGAGCTGTCCCAGCCAGCATTTCTTCTGGCCAGGAGAGAGCTGCGCATGGACCTGCAATGGGCTGTGCTTTTCTCATGCTGAGTTTCCTAACCTGACCTTTATTATGGTGACATAATCAGAATCATCAAGGTTGGAGGATACCTCTAAGATAATCAAGTCTAACCATTAACCTGTCACTGCTGTAACCCCTAAACCATATCCTCCAGCGCCAGATGCAGACACCTCTTAAACACTTCCAGGGATGGTGACTCTTTCAACTCCCTGGGCAACCTATTCCAGTGCCTGATCACCCTAACAGTGGAAACTTCTATCCTAATATAATAATGTTGACATAATAATTAATATTGTTTTCTGATGTACTCTGAGCACAAGAGCAGAAGAAAAGCTGCAAGGCTTCAGGCTGCAGCAGCTCTTTCAGCTGCTCAGTGAATGTAGGATCTGGTGCAATATTGTGGAGTTTATTTAAAAGATTCCTTCAGGAGAGTGAGCAAAGTGTTCTGGGAAGTGTGGGATCAGTGATTTGGGTGCTCACCCTGTCCTGTCAGACCTTGTGACAGGGAGTGATTGTTGCTTGCAGGAGGTATATTTTTGCTGTCTTAAGCAGATTGAAACATAGATCTCCACTTCCCATCCTTATCTCTGCTGCTGCCTGCAGTGACCCTGGGACAGGGGATACAGACCTTCAGCAGCTCCTTGAGGGTGTAATGTGCTGCCCTGGGTGGAATGTGCCTGACATTAGGACTGTCCTGTCTGCCTTCCTCACAGTCTCCTTTCTGCTTTCACAGTGCTCCCACCATGCGTGGAAAGAAGTCCAAGTGCTCCTTCTCCCGCCTGGAGGTGGTCCTCATTGTTTGCCTGGTGTTGATGATAACACTGACCGTGGTGCTCCTCGTCCTCCACTTTCTCACAAAAGATGGCAAGTTAATCTATTTCATTCCCACCATCACACACTGCTCAGGTGTTTGTCCAGTACAGTCATGTACTGGTAGAGGGTGACAGGGGCCACTGCTTAACCTTCACCATCATCTCTGCATGTTCTCTCACCCAACCCCAGCATGGCACTGACTCTGCAGCAGGAACATATGGTCAAACCCAGTAAAAGTATCTCTCTCAGCATGGATGCACAGCCTCAGGAACAGTGGTGAGGTTGGCTGCAGGATCCATACATCCTCCCTTCCCACTCTCTGCTTGTGCAAAGGGTCCCAAGAGCCCCTCACTCCCAGCACCACCCTAAGGGGCTGCACATCTGTTGCAATCCCATCTCAGCTCATTTACACCTCCAACCCCATCACTAGGCACAGGGCAGAGGAGTGTGGGGAGCTGCCCCAAGGTAACTGTGCCCCTGGACATGGCATCACCCAACATGTCGTCAATGGTGCCTTATAATTTCTTGATTTTGATCTCAAATTGGATGTAATCTACACCTTCTTCATGTTTTTAGGTTATAACATGTGAGAGTTTTATGCAAGTGATTCTCCTTTGTGTTGTAGCTCTTGGAGTAGGAGGTGGAGGAAGGGTAATTTTCATGGATGGCCAGGTTCATCAGTGCCATATTACATGACAGAAATGGCCAGTCTGTGACCAGTGTGAGTGTTTCACTTTGCCTCTGTTTTAACTGACAGCCTAGGAAAGGTCAGACTGGGAAGACCAAGTGTCTCCTTATCTCAATGTCCTGCCTTGAGCAGCAGCAGCTGCCTGGAGAAAGCTCTGGAAACAGGTTGAGCACACAGAAATGTTTCACATTTTCCCACAGGTGTTGCCTCAGCCTCCAGTGACTTGTGGGTCTTGGATTTCTTGAGGTGCAGATAATCTTTTTTATTTATTATTATTTGATAGTCCTCAGTGGATTTTCTTCCATGAGTTTGCCCATGCACTTTGTCCATTCTGTAAGGATTTCTGCATCTTCCTGGTGGCTGGGGTGAGACATGATCTTCTCTGGGAGTACTTTTCCTCACTGTTTGCAAGGAGATCATTGCCCAGAGCTGCTTTTCCCTTCTTTGAGCTTCAGCTGGCTCTGCTGTGATTTTTTTGGGGAGGACCAGTGCACTAGTGCTGAACACAGAATATGTTGGAGGCACAAGGGAAACATATGGATGTACCCTTCTTTCTTCCCTAGTCCTTTCCCAGTAGCTCCTGACATGCCACCCCCTTTTTCTTACCACAGCTGAGCTGACTTTTTTGTGTGAAACAACACTTTCAACCTTGGATCTGGTTCCTATGTGGTAGTGGAGGGCTTGGAGAATTTAACTGGCAACACTGGGCTTGTTCTCTCTTGCTGTGCATCACCACACATTTTGTATAGTCCAGCGACTCCATCTGATGAGCTCACGCAGTAGTTCTTCATGTCTGGTCCACCCTTTACCACCTCAAATGCCTTAACTGCCTCAGCACACTTGGACCATGTTGACAGTCCCTTCGAAACCCAAACAGAGGAATCAGCTACATCCCCTTGCCCACAGGCCTGCTGAGTCCTCTGGGGACATTGAGCAGGTTTCAGGTGTGCAGTCTCTCAAAAAAGCTGGGTTGCCTCTTTTGTCCCCAATTCTGCTCTCCCATGTGTCCACTAATCTACAATTTGTTGTTCTTGTAGAGCCTCCCAAAGAGTCTGAAACAGCAAACTACTTACTAGGTGTAGGTCGAGCTGACTGCACGGGACCTGTGGCAGAAGTTCCTCTGGTAAGTTGGAAGAACTGAATATGGAGTTGGTGAAGTTCTGATTTTTCATCATCTATGAGTATTTTTTGCAGGGTTTCTGGTTTAGAGCCTCTGTCCTGCCAAATGTGTGTCACCTTCAAATATTAGGTGAAATTTCTTTGAGGCTTGGAGCAACCTGGTCTAGTGGAAAGTTCCCCTGCCCATGGCAGGGGAATTAGAATGAGATGGTCTTTAAGATCCCTTCCAACTCAAACCATTCCATGATTCTTGTAATCACAAGGCAAGATAGAGCTGCAACTGTGAGTGTTTATATATTGAATGAGTCCTCTGACCCTCTGGCAACTCAGAAAAAATGATGCAGATGAATACATCACTCAATATTTTGGCTGCATGGACTTGACACAGCTCTTCCCTTCCAGATGGGATATGCCAACCCAGAGCAGGTGAGTGGTGGGATTCTCACACACCTCTACAGCCGAGCCTTCATCGTGGCAGACCTTGATGACTCCAGGAGGATTGTGTTTGTCAGTGCTGACATAGGAATGATGTCTCAGAAAGTGAGGCTGGAGGTACGTGGCTGGAAATGAGTGACTGGCATGGACTGGGTTGTCACTGGTGTTAGCATTACGGTTGTAGCCATAGCTAAATAACATCAAGCATGGTAGCATGTTGGGTGTTTGCTTTGGGATTTCCTTGCTGCACCTTCTTGGGAGAGATGCTGCACCTCTGATGAGTAAGAGCTTTTGATTCCTCAACAAATGAGTCTGGACTTTGCCCATGCTTTTCTTAGCAGAAAAATTATCAGGTGTACATTGGAATTATGAGTCCGATATCATGGTTCCTGTGTAATGCTGGGTGTCCAGCACCACAGAGGAGGGAGGGAGGTACTGGAAAACTGGGGACTCCCTGGGCAATCTGGGATTCACTTCAAATTGGTCATAGAGCTCATTACTTACCAGGTATTATTATTTTAAGGCTCTTGTCAAGTCAATAGCTATAACGTACCTCTGGTGCCACCAGATTGGGAGCTTTAGGTAGAAAAGGAAGAGTGAGGAGGAGGATGTATGGTTGTTTTTTTGCAAGGGCCGATATAAAACACTGTAGCCTTTGGGCATGAAAAAGGGGTTTTTAGGACCACTTCCTTTCTCTTAGGTACTCAAGAAACTGAAAAGCAAGTATGGTGACCTGTACCGACAGGACAACGTCATCCTCAGTGGCACCCACACACACTCAGGGCCTGGTGGGTACTTCCAGTACACCCTCTTCTGGATCACCAGCAAAGGGCTTATCAGACCCACACTCAATGCCATCGTGAATGGCATTGTAAAGGTCAGTGTCAGCCAGACTGTTGACATGAGGGACCACAAATGCAAAAAAGATATGGGAAGACATGTTTGTGACTGATGGAGCTCTTGCTCAGATGTTTGTGGTAGCATCTCTGAATATCACAGTCTTAAAACATGCTTGGAGGTGGTTTACACTTACCAGTGAAACCAGATCAAAAAGCAGAAGCCTTGAACTCTTTCTTTAGAGACAGTTGTGTGTAGTTTCAAAATATTATCATAATTTTATAGAATTTTAGACTACTTAAGAAAAAACCCAAACAAGCTCCACCCAAACTCCCACGAAAGGGTTGGAGACAGACAGGGAGGGAAA